AAGGTTTTTTAGAATAGGTGTGCTCGAGCTAAATGACATCAAATTTATGGTCCATACATATGTTAGTGTTAGGATAGGTGTGATGGATTTAATTGATATTTCTTTGTTCAATTTGTTGATATACATGGAAAAAAAATTAAAAAATGATGTAAATAGGGTTAAACGAGACCGTGCGAGCAGGTAGGGGTGGGTGTTTCGGATAGTTTTGAACCAAAAAGAGGAGGATTGTCCAAGTCGTATATGCACTTCAAAGGTCTCGTACGTCCTTTACCGATGTGGGATTCATTTTATTCATCATTCCCCTCACGTCCAAATTCAGATATTTTTTTTCATCTCTATCCTATCTGGTGTGTGAATGTTCATGAATTGGAGATATTTTTACCTCCTGTTATTGTCGGGATTCCGGAGGCCCACATAGGATCGAGTCCTGCTCTAATATCATATCAAATTAACCTTGGACCTAACTCATATCCCAAAAGATAATTCAAAGGGAGAATGATTGTTTAAGTTATATAAGAAGTCCAAAGTTCTCGTACTTTACCTATATTGTAGTATTCATTCCATTCCATCAATTAAATTTTAAATTAATCGATTTGGATATTTATATTTTTGATTTTTAAGCTCGTAAGTTGAGCTTATTCTTCTTTATAAAATGAACATTCAAATCGAGTATTTATATTAATATTAAATTATCTTAATAGTTCATCATACCATAGTCATTCAAATAAATTGGACAAGCAATAGAAGTATTATCAAGAAAATACAATAAAAATATTAATAAGGCCAAGAATAATTTAAGTATGTGGACTTCAAATTTAATGGTCCAAAGTTTTTTAGTCTTCTAGAATAGGTGTGCTGTAGCTAATTGACTTTATTATTTACTATTCCAAAAATTGTACCATTAAATATTAATGTAGCAATTTTAGTCAACATTTTTTGGATAGCTTTGAAGTATCAAACGCTGAAAACGTTTTTTAAATGTTGACATTCAATTTATGAATTAACAATTATGTGTTTCAATAAATTGTTAAAACAAAAAATAAACAGTTGATATGTTTAGTTAAAAAATAATATTTTTTTCTCCATAAAATATGAAAGAAATGTCACTAAACGGTTAACACTAAAATAAACTTGAGAGAAGTATTGAAAACACTCAGCATTTGGTTCAAATTATTAGTTTTGTCCTTTAACTATTGACAATCTCAAAAACATCTATTTACTTTACTAACTAAACCTAGATACATTCCCGATCTACCACATAACAAAGCAAATGATCTCAAAGTCTTTAGAAGCATGAGGCTCTTCATAAAAAATCGAGATAAGTGTTAAAAACACCTCTAAACATGGCAAGAATTTAGAAGTGTATTTTACTCATATTACAAAATTGAGGGTGTTTTAAGTTCAATTAATCAAGTACATAGGTGTCATCCCCATAACAAGCTTCCTATTGGCTTCTCACCCTGGATCGAGATTCACTCTTCTCGTCCAAAAGAATAGTTGTCTTCCTGGTTAACTAGTCATTGATCTTTAGCGCCAAAGAAAGTTGAAAAGGTTTTTAAGGTTGAAAGATGAAACTAATAATTCTCTAAATAAATACGACTCAATTTATAGTTATCAATTAGTTAACATGTTGGTTCATCGTATTTTGAAACACGAAAAGTAATCATTTGGCTTATCAAATTACCTATCAGGCTATCAGTGGTGAAAAAGATTCAACAACAACAAAAAAAACAGAAACAACTCCACTAATCTATAGGTGGATCGACTTATTAAGTTCTCATTAAAATCCACAGTTACAAAAAAAAAAAACACTTGTAATTCGTTGGTTATTAGCTGTATTCAAAAACATATGGGTCAAAATATGACTTTCAAATTTAGTTCGTGTAACAAACTCAATAATAACCAAGGGAACTTTTGTAGTATTGCAATCACTGACTGGAATTACAAGAAAATAACAACTGGTAAGGAAGAACAATTAAGAAGAAGAAGATAGAGATGAGATACAAAAGAAGATAAAAGATGAGAGTAATAGACAACTTCTTTCACAATTTGCATCAGTCCAATTTGCTCTCCCAAGTCGTATTTATCAACCCGAATCCCAAACATAGTCTGGCCCAATTGCTTGTTCTCAGCCCAATAGGTCTTGCTAGCCCAACACTATTTGTGTGATCTTGGTATTCCTATTGGGTTGGACTTGGTTCATAACAATACTTTCGTCCTCAATAAGAACCTTGTCCTCAAGGTTCGAGTAGAGCCACACGGACAATATAATATTGAATCTTCCAAGACTCAAGTGTGTGTAGAGAGCTGCAATAGTGGTGCGAAGTATAAACCAAACACTGTCAAATTGCAGAATTGAGGAAACAAATTCATTGCCTTCAAAGAATTCCATATTACCAAAAATCATAACAAAGGCCACAACTCTAAACAATTTCATCTGCTCTCTTTTGCCAAGCCAAGCAATTTTCAATACCTCTTTTATATTAACAGAATCATGAGCAGAAGTAATACATGCTATTATTTCATAGCAATAAGATTGTTGGAGATAGGAAAATGATTCAGAATCCCTCAATCTACACTTCTTGTTTACCTCCATAGGTGTTTCACAGAGAAGGGAGAGATAATGATGTTTCTGTTGAAGAATTATAGCAAGAAGGGCTTGAGAGCTTGCGAGGAGAGGCAGTATCATGGCTGCACCGGATGTTTTTCTAAGCTCTGCAAGCTGAATCTGTTGTGCTACAATGCGCTCTTCAACAAGTCTATGGCCACCGAAATGGGCAAGATAGCACATAAGTCTCGTAGTAGTTATAAACTTCCCCCAACTACTCAAGATAGAATTACTTTTACTCTTCTCGAGCATTGACTTGTGAACAACATAAGCATCAACAATTGAAGCACCTTTCAAAAATTCAAGCTCACTTTCAATCTCTATAGCATAACTAGCTGGTACACCTTGAGCGCCAAAGAAAACCATGATCTCCTCAAGCGTAGAGAAATTACACAACTCCTGCTCAATCGAGTCTACCATAGTCTTGATGCAGCCTTGTAGACATGCTAAATAAGCAGATACAGTATGCTCAACTATTTTCTTTCGTGAACAGACATCACCTCCTATTGCTGCATACCTTATCTTACTCTTTGGAGCTTGGAGAACAAAAATTAGTTGTGCTAGTAGTTGTTGCAGGAATCGAAATAATTTGGGAAGACATATAATATCCAGAGGTGCAATTGATTGTATCTCTCTCGATAAAACTCTTTGAGAACTGTCCTCAAACACACGGTTCACCTCAGCGCATGTATCATCCACTTTTAATTCCATCACTACCATCTTGTATGCAATTGCCCACTTAGCAAAAGTGTCCCGAGAATTAAAATTCAAAGAGGTAACTGCTGTCAATGCAAAGAAAAATAGCAAAATTGGAGAATGCATGCACCTTTGTTGTCCGGGATCCCACACTTGAGTGACGGAGTTAGCATAAACAATGAAGCCAAAAGTACCAATAGAGCCCAACAATAATGGTGGCTTCGTGTTCACTGTACCTATGAGAGCCTTAAACTTGAAACTTATACCCAGATCCCATATACAAAGATATGTTGCAGTTCCATGAATAACGGCAATATCACCATGATTAAATAAAAATTGACACAAAATATTGCGAGCACTGAATTCATCACTAAACTTTCCATGCTCCACAACAAGCAATCCATCCGAAGGCAAGTTACTTCGTGGACTGCTATCCTCGCTCTCCATAAAAAAATCATCAAGATATAGCTTCTCAATTGTCTCAGGCTCCACGAGAAACTCAGCAAGAGACTTGTCGTCAAATGTCTCAAATTCAATTTTCTGCTTACTCAAGCCACGATCCAGAGACTTAGCAGTAACATACCTCTTTGACATATCTTTTGGGGAACCTTCATCGAGCAGTTGGACTTCACTGTGTTTAGGATCTGATGCTTGTTCATCAAGCATTTTGAATGGAGTATCGGGTTGCACCTTTGCGACTACGATGGGGCAGTAACTACGAAAACATTTGTCGAACTCCTTAGGCGACTGAATATGGTTCAAATCAGCTACAACGATAGAGGCAGGAGAAGTTTCTGCCACTTCTTTGGTGAAAACTCCATTAGACATTTCATCGAACACATAGTCCACATGACCTGAATGGTCAGGGATAGATGTGTCTAACAGTTCTGGATGACCCTCAATATAATCCACAGGGCTTGAGTTTTCTTCGGTTGAAGGAGACGTCGTCTCTCCGCTAAAGACTGTAGGAGTACAAATCCCAGTATCTTCTACTACAACCTGTTGAGATGTAAATGCATATTTGTCCTCGATCTTCTGAAGCAAAGCGAGAATACTGGTAATTTGAGCATCCACCCCAGAAGACTCTGTATAGGTTCCTTTCTGAAAACGCAATGCTAATTTTTCCTTTAAATGATTCCAATCAAAAAACTGTTTGTTGCGAAACAACCAACGGAACCACTCGAGGGCCTCACCATCGAGATATAAGGAAGGAAGAGGTAGCCAATATTCCTCGGAGAAGCCCAGAAAAGTGAAATATCGTTCTGCCCTAGAAATCCAGTCCTCTGGATCAGCGTTGCCATTAAATCGATCTAAAACGACAACTTCCATTAGAGTACGTCGATGAAAGCACCAATGTAACAAACTCAATAATAACCAAGGGAACTTTTGTAGTATTGCAATCACTGACTGGAATTACAAGAAAATAACAACTGGTAAGGAAGAACAATTAAGAAGAAGAAGATAGAGATGAGATACAGAAGAAGATAAAAGATGAGAGTAACAGACAACTTCTTTCACAATTTGCATCAGTCCAATTTGCTCTCCCAAGTCGTATTTATCAACCCGAATCCCAAACATAGTCTGGCCCAATTGCTTGTTCTCAGCCCAATAGGTCTTGCCAGCCCAACACTATTTGTGTGATCTTGGTATTCCTATTGGGTTGGACTTGGTTCATAACAGTTCGGAATAAGAAGAAATGAACAATCTCCTTTTTCGTTATGGTATGAGAAAAAATTTGCCACTCACAAAGATAAAGAGGCCATTGAAGGGCCAGAGATTTCTTGATATCTTAGCTCCAAAGCAAAATGTGATCAAGAATCACCAAAACTGTGTTAAACTCATTGAGGACTTTCTTCAAACAGGTTCTGTGCAAAATTGTAAACACCCATTGGATAGAGATAACTCTTTTTCGTATTCAAAGGAAGAAGATTCAGTCTCATTGTTATTTAGATTTCATAAAGAAGGGTGTAAAATTGGGGTTAGTTTAGTATCGAATGCTATGAGTTTGTGTGCATCGAAAAGGGTTTTTAATGTAGGGATTCAAGTTCATTGTTTGGTGATTGTTAATGGGTTTTTATCCAATGTGTATATTGGTAGTTCTTTGATCACTTTTTATAGTAATTTTGGAGGAATTGTAGATGCGTACCAAGTGTTTGATGAAATGTCTGTGAGAAATGTTGTGTCTTGGAGTGCTATGTTAAATGGTTTTGCGAAGGAGAATGAGTTGGGTATGTGCTTGAAGCTGTATAAGGGTATGATGGGGTTGGGGTTGAAGGTTAATGAATTCGTGTTTACGAGCTTGTTGAGCGTGTGTATGGGTAGTGGATGTTTTGGTCATGGAAGAAGTATTCACTGCCAGATAATTGTTATGGGTTTTGAGTCCTATGTACATGTTGCAAATGCGATTTTATCAATGTATAGTAAATGTGGGGAAGTAAAGGATGCTATGTGCATTTTTGATAATACGAAGAGTAAAGATTTGGTGTCGTGGAACTCGATGATCTGTGGATATGGACAGCAAGGACATGCTATTCAAGCTATTGAACTTTTTGAGGAAATGAAGAAGCAAGAAGTGAGGCCTGATTCCATTACTTTCCTTGGGGTGTTGTCTTCTTGCCGTCATGCTGGTTTTGTTAAAGAAGGCATGTCTTACTTTAACTCGATGGTTGATTATGGTGTGAAGCCTGAGGTAGATCATTATTCATGTATCGTGGATCTTCTTGGACGAGCACGTTTATTAGAAGAGGCTCGTGAGTTTATCAAGAAGATGCCAATTCGACCAAATGGTGTTATCTGGGGTTCCTTGCTTATGTCGTGTAGGCTTCAGGGGAACTTTCGGTTGGGGATTGAGGCTGCAGAGAATAGGCTTGCACTGGAACCATGGTCCACGTCTACCCATCTGCAGCTGATAAATTTATACGCTCGTTTAGGATACTGGGATCAGGCTGCTAGAATGCAGAAGTTGATGAAAGACAATGGACTTAAACGGGATCCTGGTTATAGTTGGATCGAGATAAGCAATCAAGTGTTTCGATTTACTGCTGAAGATATATCGATGGGACATATTAAATCGATTGCTAGTTTGGTGGATGTTTTGGTGGATCACATGAGAAGTTTTAGTGTAGAAGAAACTGATTCTGGTGAATAGTAATGTAGAGAAGATGCACAATTTTGAGCTTAATTCAACTCCAAAAGCTAGTTCATCAAGCGTATTTTCCCCATGAAAATTAACGTGGGAGTAGATATGAGATTCTTACAATGATATGGCAGATTCTTCCTGGCATACATCAGGGAGATAATCCTGTTACATCATTCAAATATTCTTACTTTATAGTACCCAACACAGATACAATACAAATACAAATGGCTAAAATTGAGGCAAATTTACTGAGGAGGTTTATTAGTTTGTTTTACAAGACGGTTTATTTCAAAGTTATATTTTGTGATCCGTAAACGCTAAAAAAAGTGGTGCGGATCATAAAGAGGCTATGGGTACCGTTTACTAGGTCATTAATGCACGGTCTAAGAAAAAATTTGGTTCAAAAATCTAATTAGTCTATTTCCAAAAATTCATGAACTAATACACATGAAAAATTGAGAAAATCATGAGTTCATGTTTCATGACCGCTACATGATGAAAAAAGGTGGTGCGGATTATGTGGAGGCTATGGATATCGTTCACTAGGTTATTATGGATGGTTCTTTAAATTTTGGTTCAAAAAAATTTGACCGGTCCAATTTCTAGAAATTCATGGACTAATACACATGGAAATTGAGAAATTCCTTAATTCATGTTTTGTGACATCTAAACATTAAAAGAAGTGGGTGGATCTTATAGATATTGTTCACTAGGTCATTAAAGATGATTCTAAAAAAAAATTGGGTTAAAAAAATCTTGTCAATTATATTCCCAAAAATTAATGGAATACATACAAAAAATTGCAAAAAGAATTATATTCTTATGAGTGGATCGTTCGCTAAGTCAATTACAGATGGTCCCTTAAAATTTTGGATAAAAAAATCATGTGGGTCATATTTTGAAAATTCATGGACTATAACATAGAAAAAAAATGAGAAAATTCTAATTCTTATTTTGTAACCCCTAAACCATATAAGGAGTGGCGTGGATCCTATAGATGCCATGGATATCACTCAGTAAGTCATTACGGATGTTCCTAAAAAAAAAATTGGATAAAAAAACTCTTTTCATCAAAGACCTATAGTAGTGATTTTTACATCCAAGGAACTTAAGAAAACAGCAAAGTATAGGCCATAGTTGTATAAAGGATACAAAAAGATGAATAAACTGAATTTTTTTATATAAAGCAAAGTCTTCTCCCACAAATTCTGGTAAAAGATTGGCCATACAATGAAATCTGACATTAGAAAACATAGGTCTACTCATGGAAGCTACTGTCTCACTGTATTCTAATCCTTTAGAGAAGACGATCCCGGGATAAATCACCAACATTGTCCATCGACTATGATGATTCATCGATCTGCCTAGCCAAAAGATCTCCATACTCTTTAAATTTGCGATTTCCCATCAACTTTTGAGTATTCCAGATCCAAGTGCAGCGCACCAGTTCATTATGCACGCATAGAACTGATTGCGATAGAAAATTATATAAAAATGACAACTATGATGGTTCATCGATCTGCCTAGCAACTGCAACAGGCTGCAAACGCTGATCGACAGAGAAAACCACCAAAATGATTCACCTGAAACTCAGAATATGAAGATGATTAAAAAAGCCTATAACTTCTCATGTAAACTCCAACATCTTGAGAGAAGCAAATTAGACAAGCTCACAAAAGAGACTAGCAATTTATCAATTTGGGTGCGAAAGTCGACATCTGTTATCAGAGGTGGAGACAGCGTACAATATATGAGTTCACAGGAACTCAGTAGCTTTTGTGTATACCCTGTATACATATAGTAAGAAAATCACTAGAAATCTATAAATATTTGATTGTGAACCAAGTTATTTATATATATATTAACTTGATATTGTTGTAGGAACCCATATATTAAGAAATTCACTAATTATACCCCGAAATTCGGGATCTGTCAAGACAGTAAAAGCATCCTGACGACTTAAGCACCTTGAACTAAAATCTAGTGCACCAAAGGAAAAGAGAAGCTACCTCATGAAATAGAATGCAGAACTAAGTTGAACTCCATATTGCAGCATTGAAATTCTCCAACTCCTTTGAGGTTGATCCATACACCGCTTTAATTGTGTCTATGCAACAACTACAATCGAATCATTTCTTTAATCAAAACATCAGTATCGAATAGAATTTCACTGGAGAAGACTTCAGACTTTCACAAAGTCGAAAGGCAGGCTAGGAGTATATGAGAAAATATCAATGAATTACCTGCAAGCTTCCTTGTTGAACTTTTTCGTTTCAATCCCATACAGTATCTCAAAGATGTCCGGTTCAACCCGACAAAAGTAGGGACGATCTAAAGCAAAGAGAAGAAATTCACCAACATAACAAAAGCAAAAAGAAGATAAATAATGATATCTCCAAACTCCAACAGGAAAAAAAGTAAGTTTCACCAGCATAAATGGAGCATTTTCTTGTGCTCTTATCGAAATGTATGCACCATCCATCAGAACCCACCAAGCTGTTGAATAACTGAGAAGGAAAATCCACATATAAAAGCTTCAAACTTCATATAATTGTCTTTTCATTTCGGAATCCGAAAATATGTTGCACAAAATCTATTACTTAAATGACAACTTTTAAGAACTCAAATTCAGTTTAACCACTTATCTCTGAAAATCAAATACTCTAACTTATCTAATCTTACTAAATTCAATCATATCTTGATACTTTACTACAACATAAAAGAAGCATTTTCTACGGGATCCCGAAACCACCAGCCATCCAACCTAATTCATGATAAGCCCATCAACATCCCGACAAAATGCCTACGGTTAAAAACCACCGACATGTCAAGATCCAAATTTGAATACGTTCCTGATCCTGGTGGAGACCACTATGTTCGCACCAGCAGTCCAGCAAAGAGGTGTAGTAGTGGTATCTTTCCTCCCATTACAAACCAACACACTTCGCCCCCCGTGTCCACTAGCGCTCCTATCTAGAGTAAAGAGAGGGCGAAAAAGTGCCACCAAAGCAGCATAAGCAAGCTTCTACTGCTACGTAACAACAAAGTAGGATAGCATTTTGCATCCACATTTTTGAATTTGAGGGTGAAAAGCTAGCTCGACAACAACTAGGTCTCAGTCCCAAACAAGTTAGGGTCGTCTATACAAATCCCCACTTCTTTTAACTAAGCTCATGTCATACTTATGACGATTCATAATGAATTGACAAGTTTTACATTAGCTTCCAGCTTCTATAACAACCCTCCTCCTTTATCCAAGCTCAAAACCAACATAATAAAGGATCAAACTCCATTCAAATAGCTTATAAAATATGATAAATGTAGTATAAAACCATCATATTCATAATACCCACATAATTTAAACTCAAAATTATGAAAACAAATACCTCAATATCAGAAGGGTCATCGAAAATTTCTTCAGCGGAAGGAAAATTTGGCCCTTTTTCTAGTTTGCAGCAGGCACCACAGTTCTGGACACACTGCCACGTCGGTTCTTTGTTTCTGCTGTTAAATCCTGACATTGTCTTCATGGCGGTGGCCGCCGGTACACCTGGAGTGATGGTGGTTGTTGTCTTTTGCTTGCCGCTTTGGGTTTTCGCGTTTGGTCTCTGACGTGGCTGCTTCGCCGCCGTGATGACGGTGGCGAAACGCGGCAGAGTCACCGTAGACAGCGAATGAGACATTTGGATTTCTTATGGATTGATTGGGTCATTGGCGCCATATAAATTCTTTGCAGAAATAGCCCTTTCAGATGTTTATATTTTGTCCTTTTTTAAATTATTTTTTTGCATATATAGTCAAAAGGAATTACTTTATTTTGTGTAAATTTGATTTTTAAAAAATAATTAATTATTGTTTAGTCCTATTGCCAATAGGGAAAATGCATAAATTCACCCTCGAACTTGTTTCGAAAAGTCAGTTACACGTTTAAACTAATATAATGACCTATTACCCCTAAGACTAGTAGCACCACTCGCATAATGGGAGGTGTATCACATTTGGGCCACAACAATGTCATGTCACTGCCACATCAGATGTCATGTCAAATTTTAACTAAAATTCTCCCTATCATTCAATTATTTCTTCTTCAATGAACACCACAATGAAACCTCATTGCCGCCATATTACTACCAAATCTATATATTTCACCATGAAAATCAAAATAGTCCCCATAAATTTCACCACCTACGATCAAATCCACCATCGAAATCATACTATCACCATTATCCCCACAAAAGTTAGAAAGATCCACAACAAAATTTGACACCCATAAACAAACTCATCACCGAAATTACATCATTACCATCAAAAGGTACAAACCCACCACCAAATATCGCTACCACCATTGTCAATATCAATTTTTTCTTCTTCACCACCTTCAATTCCTGCTTCTTTGTCACCCCACGCCAACAAATCCATCATTATATTTTATTTTTTAAACTTAATCATCAATTTTATCAATCACCAACAAAGCCGAAGAGAAAAATCAAATATAATGAAAATGGTGAAATCGAATAAGCATTAAAATAGGATATGATGGAGGGGTGGGGGAGAGGATTTTGGTGGAGGTATAGTGGGGTGGATGGAAATTGGATATGAAAAAATGATGAAAACAAATAAAGAAGAAGAAGAAGAAGAGGCGTTGGGTGGGGGATGGAGGGTGGGGGTAGGGTGATAGTAAAAAGTTTACTTTATTTAATGTCAAACGCGCTTTTTTTTTTTTGCCACATCAATTTTAGGGGGTAAAAAAAATCATTTTTAAATAGTAAAGGTGTGTAATAGATCGACATGATAGTTTAAGCGTGTAACTGACTTTTCGAGACAAGTTCAAGGGTGAATTTATGCCTCATTTGATGGTAATATGCATCGATTAAGAGCCTGTTTGGATTGGTTTAAAAAAAGTACCTTTTAAGTCAAAAATAAAAAATCAAACTGAAATGGCTTTTAAGTCAAAAAATAAAAAGTAGGGGATACCTACTTTTGGTTTCTGACTTATTTTAAGTCATTTT